TTAAGCTAAACTTGGATACATTTTGCTTTAGAAGATAAGCAGCGGCCGAGCGGTAAAGTCGCCAAACACTGGTAGTTCGGTCCGAGGTTCGAATCCCACGAACGGGTTGGCTGCATGGGTGTTTTCGTGGTTTTCCCAATGTGTAACGTGTATACGAGCCAATTTTCCTTAGAAAGTCCTCCGCGAAGGCATCCCTCCCCTTAGGCAGATAACCCTCGAGGCTTTGGCGTAATTAAATAACCTAACCTAATCTTTAGAAGATAAATGAAAAATCTCAGAAATTAACTGTTTGCACTATCGAATACAGCCGAAAAAAATCTTTTAAAAGAAAATTTGTGATATTTTTATGTTATTTCTGGTTTTTCGGTGAATTTAGAAAAACCATTCGATTTTTTTCGACTGTTTACACCTATGATTTTAAAATTTGAACAACTAAATGTGTATCGATTACCAAGTTTTGAAATTTTAACAGATTAAAAAATAAACTCTTCGCCTTCTTTTAAAACTGGAAAGAAGAAAAGATATTTATTAGGCGATTATAAGCATTTAAAAAATATACACTCTGTTACATAAATCGCCACGTAAAAAAAAAAAAAGAGTTATCCAAATGGGACGAAAGTCGGTAGTTTTGATATACAAGTATTGAAAATGAACATTATGATAGGAATTGAATGTTTTATTCAGGAAATACAGCTTCAAGAACAAAAAAAAAAAAAAAAAAAAAAAAAATCAATAATGCTTTGGCCCACCTCTGACGCAAGCTGCTATCCCGATGGGCATTGACTCGTAGAGTTGGAAGATGTCTTCCTGCGAGATTGCTATCCCTATATGGCGAGTTAGATCCGCGCAATACAGGGACGATCGGAGACTCCTGAGCCCAGATGTGCTCTACTACAGAGAGATCTGGTGATCGCGCCGGGAAAGGAAGTGTTAAGCCCAGGGGTCCGCGAAGGGAAAGGAAGCAATACGTAGTGTAGAATCCTTTCGATGTATTATCATACTGTGATGAAGTCACGGATGGCAACCAAAGGAGTCCGCCATCAAATGAAATAGTACTCCGTAACGTAACTCCTGGCTGTCAGGTGGTGCGGCGGACGACAGTCAAGTAATAAGTATCCCATCACTGTCCTCTACGTCTCAAGACACGTCTTCACTCGTCATCGGGGCTCAGTTCGAAACGGGACTCATCGCTGGAAGCAATTCTACTCCAGTCCGTGAGATTCTAGGTGGAACAACTGGGTGCGGCGCCATTGCAAATGTGCCTGGTGGTGTGAAACGGTGAGAGGCAGTCGGCGCAATGGCCTCCGTGACCTCAACTCCCGTAAGCTGAATTGCCTATCAATGGTCATTGCATTCACTGGTGTCCCAATTGCATGTCGGATCGCTGATAAGGGCGCATCAAGGGACGATAGGACGATCACTGAGAAATAATTGTCTCTCAAAATACTCCAAGGTCAATAATAATTCACTAAAACTAAAAGTTTTTTTTTTTTTTTTATAAAAACCCATTTATTTTACTGTAAGCACATCAAAACTCAATATGTGCATCTTTAAATATTACAAAAAGATAAAGATGCCTTTTCCCCCTTAATATCTCAAAAACAATGCATAACTTTCTCTTAAAAAAAGCAGACTATAACAACAATATATTACTGTTACCAGAAGTTAAATGTAAATGTAAAATGATACCGTAATTTCTTTCGTAATAAATAAAGGATGGTACTTTAAACTGAGCAGAAAAAGATATAGAAAGGTGGCTTAACCGCCAAAGAATACTAGGGCAAATTTGGAATACCGTGCCTTCCTCGAAAACAGCGGAACATGATAGTGTAATGACACCATCCAGGTGCTGCTCTGCAATGTGCTGGTGCTCAAGTGACAGGCAGTGGATAGCTAATTATTTGCATATTCTGTCGCAATGTATGCATTTCAGCAGTTTCGTCCCATTCGGATAACTCCTTCTTGGCGCGTTACTTTTTAAGTTATAGAGCGTAAATATTCTATAATATGAAACAGAAGGGTTGAAATACCTCTTCTTTAGTTTCAAAGTTCTGAAGTTACGATTTCATTACATCCCAATTTTTCTTACTTCTTTAACTCCCCGTCAATCTCAAAAACAACAGTATTGATAAGTGATTAAAACTATTTGCAATGAAATTTAACGCGTCATTTTTAATTTTTTTTTTTCATTTGATGAGTTTATATGGATTTTTCTCACTATGTAATTTTAAAAACTGGTGTTTTTAGGTTTATAATGTCATGTTCTTTCATTAAGCTTAAAAATTCTAACATTAAATTCCATAGGTTATAAAGCAAACTCCCCACCATCTTTTAAAAGCAGATTGGTAAAAAATATCAGTTAGGTGACTTTCTAGAGTCTTTTTAAAAACTAACCGGAAAACTTTTAAAATCTTTCTTAAACTAACAGTAAAAAGCAAATGCTTTTTACCACGCTCAAAACTTTCCCATCCATTTTGAAACTATTATCTAATAAGCAGTGCTCGGGCGTCATTTTTAGTCTGAGTATAATTTTAGAGGGGTTAGTCATGTAGATCGCCAAATCGGGTGAGGAATAAAAACAATTTAAATTGTCATATAAAATTAAATTGAGCAGAAAAATAGTATTCACACTAGAAAATATATTCAACGAAATCCCTTGATATTTCAACAGTTACAAGCTCTTCTTTTGTTCTCTACACTCCGTAATTTTTGAATGAAAAACACGAATACCAACTAAATTATGATCACAATGACATAAATAAAGAAGAACCTTTTGCTAAAAGAGAAATACTTAAGAGTTTTAATTCCGTTATTGCTAGATAAAACAGAACAAAAGGTAGTTGAAGGGTTGTCCTTTTGAACTTTTTCAGATTCCTTTTTTAAAAAAATACAAACTCCAGAACTAAGTTGAAAGTATTCTAAAACTACTACTACTATGAGAACAGCGTTCTAAATAAAACTCCTTTAAGAAGTACTTAAGACCCACAAATGTATATTCGACATTAAAGATATTCTTTTGTACTGTCAGCAACTGGAGCACTGAAATAGAACTCTACAGTATGATCGAAGGTTTTGCCAACAGAAAACAAATAAAGTTGTAATATAATATTCAAATGTTGAAATTAAAGTTTTAGCTCAAAAATAAACATAGAGCTTTAATTTATTTCCATACATGTCATTTTGATATTTTTTGGCTATTTGGTTAAGTATTGAGTGGGGAGATAAATTCATGGACAATCCCGGCAGCAAACCTAAAGTTCTCCCCTCAGAGCAAACCTCTGGCTATGCCACTGCTCATTAAATTCATGGACAATCCCGCCAGCAAACCTAAAGATCTCCCCTGAGAGCAAACCTAAAGATCTCCCCTGAGAGCAAACCTCTGGCTATGCCACTGCTGATAAGCAATCAAACTTAAATTTTACATACTTTTCTGCACTTTTTACTTAGTTAGTGGCAACAATAATTTTCGTTGGAAATCATGACATCTAAACTTCTCAGGCGTTCAAAATTACTTACTGTTCTAGCGTGAAAAGGAAAATACACCTTTTAGTTTTTATAAATTGCTTATTGGTATTGCCATACAATGATGGCAATACCAATAAGCAATAATACAAAGTAATAACGACACCTTTTGGGAAGGTATGTTACAACTGCATGCTAATTCAGTTGAAACAAAAACGTACCCGCGAAAGGCAGAAACATGCTCTGTCTTAAATCCAAAAGCCTCAGCTTATAATGTATTTGTCCCGCCTTCTTAGCACGACTTCGTAGTGTAGTGATCTGCACGCTGGGCGCGTATTCCAGAGGTCCGTGGTTAGATTCCCGAAGAAGGCGTTGCTCATTTTTCATCTCTCCTGCTTCCAATTAACCTAATGTCTCTACAAGCTTAAATAATATTATCTAACTGATATGCGTTCTGCTGAAGAAGCAGAAAGGAAAAGTTATAATAAAGGCTGAAATTATAAATAACTGATTAGTTTCAAATAATCACCTTACAAAGGTAATAAACGCGAGTGAAGTCAGTATTTGTAACATATCTCTTGGGGTGTAGTATTAAAGTACGATACTATAGCAACATTCACATAACTGAAAAGTAAGATTTCTAAGTAAGATGAATAACTGAAAGTTATAAGGTATTTCTCCCGCCTTCTTAGCATGTCTTCGTAGTGTAGTTGTCAGCACGCTCGACACGTATTCAAGAGGTCTGTGGTTCGAGCTCCGGTGAGGGCATTGCTTATTTTTCATGTCTCCTGCTTCGAAATAACCTAACGTCCCTGCAAGGTAAGATGTATATTTTAATGCATACTAGTGTGTTTGGTACCTTTTTTTTATGTTTTTAGCAAAAGGCGAAAAAACATTCATTTGAAAAGCTCTTAAATTTTAAATTTCTGAGAATGAAACTGTTTAAAAATTTTGCTCACAATTAGTGTTCTTCTTGTCAGCAAGAAAGTTTGCAGTTAAATCCAAAATATGAAGTTAAAGTATTAAATTTGCTAAATGTACACGAATATTTAAAAAGGTGAAGACATTTCAATCCTATAAGAAGGAAATGCAGAATATGAAGTACTGAAACAAAATATTTCTTAATAGAGAAGAAATAACGCAGTCTCATTAATTTTCTTATGCAGTTCTTTAAGCAGAAAAAGTAAATAGAAAAGGAAAATTTTACGAATTAATGCATATGCTGGATTAAACATTTCCTCCTAATAAGTAACGTTCGATTAATGTTGACTTAATTTCTAACCTCGCACGCTAATTGAACTGCCATCTGAGCAAAAGAACATAACCACGTTATATCCAGTTTCTAAATGTTATCTTTTTCATTTGTCGTCTACTTAAAGATTTCAAAACTTCGACTTGGAATTGATGGAACATAGCATGATTTAAAACAAAATTCGCGAAACAAAAACAAAGTTAAATATACATTTTACCGAAAATGTAATTTAATGCAAATTGCCTTTATTTAAATTTGAAATCACGATCTTTTTTTTTTTTTTTAGATTACTTGCGTCATGCCCCATGCTTTAAGAACATATCGACCGATCCGAAGAAATGTGCTACTAAATACCAGAAGGTGGCCATTTTATCTCAAGAGTCGAAAGAAGAAGATAAAGATACCCATTTGAAGGCATTTTGCTGGTAAGTTATAAGTAAGAATATTTATTAGTAAGAATATTTTAGATTCTGAAATTAAGAAAATACACTTACTAGTCTTTTACAAAATATTTTTCGAAATGGAAGCATACCCTTCAAAATACAAACGAGTTATTAGCAAATATTTTATGTTTTCTATTTCCTTTAATATCATCAGTTACGCACTTTCACAAACAACTTATTAATTTGTAACAGATCTTGAAGTGAATTTCTAGTGAGTAGAGCAGTTATATTAGAGCAGAAAACAAGATTAGTGTTTTTCACTTTGAACAAATGGAGTAGTAAATAATTATGTGTATTGCTTAAAATTAGCCTAGCTCCTAATATTTAAACATCTGCTTTATAAATCTACTTAAAAGATTATTTCATTGAACGTCTTTCTAAAGAAACTTGAATAATTATTTGCATGCTAAAACTATCTTTGAATTTTTAATGTGAATATATATGAGCACTAACTTTCATAATATATGTATTTCAGTAAACTGTTAGACAATGAAGCACAGTTAGCAGGTAAATATCTAAAATCAAGGTGGTTAAGGAAATTTTAACAAAATTTATTTTCATCATACAGCGCTTTGCAATACAAATAATTAATATGAAAATTTCTCCACATTTGCAAAAGGCTGAGAATCAAAGAAATGCATTACAACGTATTTTCTCCGTCAGGTTCGAATCCGGGGAGAACGTTGCACATTTTCCTCGTCTAAAACATCAAAAACCCTAATGACTCTACAGTGGTGCCCGAACGAAAAAGGTAGTGAACAATAATTCGTCACCATGAGGGTTTGGCTATTAGGTATAAGGTACTTTTTCCCTCCTTCCAGCATGCCTTCGTAGTGTAATGGTAGCACACTCGGCGCGTATTCGAGAGGTCCAGGTACGAGTCCTGGTGAGAGCATTGCACATTTTTTTCATCTCCAGCATCAAAAATTCTAATGACTCTACATCACGTCACTCTTTATGAATGTCACAAAAGCCAGTGCTAAGTAAGGGATAATGCTGTTTTCTAACAGTGCATAATAATGAATTTTTATATTCAGAAGTTGAGCCATAATTCCATACTTGAAGGTAAAATGCCGTCTGATGGAAATTACTGCATTTAGAAATTTGTATATTTAAAAGACTTTAAAAAACAGTTATCTCAGTCATATTTGTGCTAGGTGTTTTTTCATATGATGTAAATTCTTAAAGTATTAATTTCTTAAAAGTTTACCGAATTCTAGATCCCAATATGTAGTTTTGATTTATTGCTACAGCTATCCTATTAACAAAGAAGTAGTTTAATTACAAATGTGGGTAGAATTTTTTATCATTTAGATAGGATAATTTTGTTTTCTAATTTATAATTTCTATTTTTTATTCATAGCTAGCTTTTTAACGCTTCAGTTTGCCAAAGATTTCCAGCTATGTCATTACATAATAATCTCTGGTTTAGAGAGTAATTATTGGGTTATAATTCACAAGATGCTGTCGTAAGTAATAATAATAGTCTATAATGAGAACGAATGACATTGGCATGAACTGCGCGGCATGAAAATGCAACACTCTGAAAGACTTGGTAGAATATGATGTCAGTTAATACACAAACCATGCGTATGTAAATAAGCGATGTTATTTATAGAAAGTTAAATTTATACAGTGCTGAAATAACAGGGAAAAAGATGTATGACGACATCTGGCGGAGATGCAAGCTCAAGTCCTACAAGGTACAGGTTCAATTAGTGTGCGAATAGTATTCCTAAAGCTTGTTGCTCATAGGCTCTGAACCACCCTGCAAAGTTCGTCCTTCGATAATCGATGGGGAAGAGCAGACAAACGATGACCAATCACTTCCCAGAAATGCTCGATAGGCGAAAGATCAGGGAACATCTAAGGCCAAAAAAGCAATATGCCATGCTGCAAGGCCTGCCCGGCTAACAAATGCCGTGTACGATCGCGTTGTCCTGCTGGAAAATACCATTTTGCTGCCTTTGGAAGTAAGGTAGCACAAATGGCTGCAGCACCTCATCAACGTATAGACATGCCGTCAGTGTGCCTCTGATGCGCAACAATGGTGACCTGCTATCATGATTGATGGTACTCCAAATTATCATGCCATGCTGACGAACGGTGTGACTTTCAGCAACAGTAGTCAGATTGGCTGTATATCCCCCATGCGTTCAAACTCTTAACCGGTGACTATCATCAGACAAACAAAACCAACCAGAGTGTTTCCTTCAGATGTCCAAATGGTCCGTTGACCACACCATCGCTGTCTTTCGCGTGAATGGTTTGGCGTTAATGGCAGTCTCCGCAAAGAGCGGGCTTGTGTGCAAGCTTCTTTCAACTAAACGTCTGGTAACTGTTTTCCCAGATATCGGAGAATCCAAGGCCCCCTGCACATTCTTCAAAATGCCCACGGTAGTTGACTGTGGGGGCGGTCACCGCCTCTTCTCTTTATATGCGTTGATCTGAGCGTCCTGTAGTACTTCTAGCTGGATATGGTCTTTTGTAACTATTTACATTCCCTTCATAAATCCATCTAGACCAAATTCTATGCTCAGTGAAGATATGTACGTATTCTTCAGCAGCAATACGACGCTAAGACCAACCAGCCGTACTTAAGTCTACAGTATGACCCCTCGTAAAATCGTCCATTTGCCAGAACTACCCACGGTGTCGTCATCTAAGCATTTCTTCATTCAAACGTGTATATATAAATCTATATACAGGCTGCGATAAAATTAATGGTCATAATTTAAAGGAGGAACAGACAAGAGAAAAGTAACGGAAAAGCACAGATACTTACAAGAAATAGTGTTTAATACTTACAATAATCGTTTAAATGTAAGACAGTAACTGCAATACATGCAGCATAATAACGAGAGACATTTTGTTTGCGAATCGCAGATTGATTCGTCCGAAAACCCTGTCGCCAGAATTATCATCGCTGCTGCAAATATTCATGACATGCGAGCATCTTCCAAAGTATTATATAGACCAATAATTTCGCCATCGTTTTGATGAAAGTATTGAAATTGGTGTTCGATAATACTGCCGTGAGCTCCGACTCGCTGATACTGCCGTGAGTTAGCATTTATTTAAAATGTTTCATAAAGGTAGTCATTTTGCTTGCCAAGAGGGGAGGACAACATGATCTCATGAGATTCTCGGCTTCATTGTGTTTTCGGTATTACAGCAAACCTTAATAATTTGACTACCTTAACATCCGAATTTGGGTGACACCAGAAACTCGGAACAGGCTATGTCACCCTTATAATGTTGACAGTTGTATTGACTACTACGAAACATCTTAGTATTTCTAAAGATATTCAACAGAAGTATGAGGAATGTCTGTCATATCACATAATAATACGTGATAAATGAAAATTCTGCAATGAAATTTTCCTTCAATAATTAGCTTTAGGATTTGCTTTTACAAAACTCATACACAAAATCAATAATCTAGATTTTTTTCCAGGATTAGTCGGTATCCATTTATACATCCATGCAAACGCAGTTAATTTTATTTAACGCATTCCTTTTTTCTGACACAAACAAATATATTATTTATCATTTATGAGTAAAGAAAGCACATCGTAGTGATTGATGTTCTCAATAATGATAGCTGTTGCAATAAAAGAAAATTATTTCTAGTCCAGTAAATTCATTCAATTCGCTTAGCTCAACTGAACTTTCTTCGGCATTATCAACTCCGATATCTTCCTTAGCAACCAAGTTTTATATATTCTCAGCAACTAGTTAAATTAATTTGGTATTAAAAATTTTTAGGATTAATTTTTTAGAATATTATTTTTTTTATAGTTTTAGACACGTGCACTTAATTTACATATGTTCTTAGAATTTAAATGATATTTTAAATTAGTTCGCAGCAATAATTAATCTTGTATATTTTCAATTAAAATTTCATAATTAAATTTTTAATTTAAATTAACTTTAAATTAGCTATACGAATAGAGAATACTTGTTAAATTCAAATATATATATATATATCACATAAATAATATATCACAATATACAATAAATCAATCATATATCACAAATATATCTCACATAAATCAATCATATATCACAAATATATATCACATAAAGTAAAATTTTGAAGTGGGGTTTTGCTTGTTTGAAATGTTTTGGTTTTAATATTTTAAAAATATGATTATTTGAAATTTATTAATTCTTAATTTGAATCTCTGGTCTTTGTGAAATATTGGTTTAAATTTCTTACTTTATGTCTTTAATGATATATATATATATATATATATATATATATACATACAGAGTGATTCGCTACCAGACCGACAAAATTGCAGAGTGTGTAGGGAGTGCAGAGAAGACTCGGAATTACATAGGAAGGTAGGGTCGCAAATGTCGTAGTTACGAGCTATGGTGCAAAGAAGCAGGGAAAAAGAACAGAAACGGCAACGCATTAACGGAACAGAAAAAAAAAATTATTGAAAGTTTGTACTAAGATAGGTATTCGAAATTACGACCAGAAGTCGTCAGGCAGGCCAGACAGCGGCGCTGCATGGAATTCTTTACATTCCTTACATTCGGCGGTTGTATCAGGAACGTTACCGGAACAGGCGTGCTCCACATCACACGACCTTCGCAAGTGTGAACAGAAGGTTACGCGAGATAGGTTGTTTAACAAGAGCTACAATGAATCGATATCGAACGACGAGGACAACTGACAATGAATAGGCGGTCTGGCAGAAGACAATCCAACTACGAGTACTCGAGCGATAGCCGAACGAGTGGATTTATCTCAATCCATTGTCTGGATGAAACTCGCAGAAAAACAAATGAACGCATGCCATCTTTTCATTGCATCCAGTTATTAGAGCCTGCGGATTATCCGCTCCGGAGGACGTTTGCTGCAGAGTACTACAGACAGCGCATTTGCTGCGTCCATATTGTTGACCGATTAAGCATACTTCACACGTGATGGAGCCTTCAATCAGTATAACGCCCATGTGGGCCTTCATCGTACGAAACCACGTACAGCTCAAGAGCGTTTCTCGATCAATGTTTGAGCCGGCATTCTTGGCGACTACCTCATTGGACCGTACCTTCTGCCCAGTCCTTTGGATGGTAGAGCATACCTAATCTTCTTGCAACAAGTCCTGCCCAAACTTCTTGAGGCAGCGCATGTTCCTCCGTCGTTGCGCTGCTCCATGTGGTTCCAACATGACGGGATTCCTCCATATTGCACAACTGACGCCCGCCAACACCTCGAAGTAAGTTTTGGAGAACGATGGGTAGGTCATGATCGTCCGATTCATTGGCCTGCCAGATCATCGGATCCATCATGCATGGACTTCTTCTGGGGTCACATGAAGAGTTTGGGGTACGAGACGCTCGTTCCTTCAGTTGAAGACTTCGTTGCTCTAGTATCTGTAGCTGCCTGAAAGACATGTGGCATGCTAAGAATCTTCCAGAACATATCGAATTCCCTGCAGCGCCGGTGTTAGGCCTGCCAGACGACTTCTGGTCGTAATTTCGAACACCTGTTTTAGTACAACACTTCAATAAAATGCCATTCTGTCCCATTAATGTGTTGCTGGTTTCTGTTCTTTTACTCCGCTTCTTTGCATTATAGCTCGCAAGTACGGAATTTGCGCCCCTGTATTCCTATGTAATTATAATTATTTATCGAGCATTATTTCGCCCAAACGTTTCCGGAGTTCACTCGAAATTGACTTATAATTGAGATAAGAAAGCAAACTACCAACCTCAAGGTAGGAACAACTAAGTAGAACCTTTGGATAGAAGGTATTGAACGTTTTGAAACACGGTCATACCATTTTATGCAGTGGAGTGCTTAGTACTCAAGATGTTTCACTAAATTATTTGGTTAAACATTGATATACTTAACGTACAATCATATATAATAACTTGAATACTTAATTACTACTATATTGAATTTAAATAGGCTGAAATTTCACGTATTTGATAAAAATTTCGTACAGCATGATAGCTTTTGTAATTAAAATTCGAGTCTACTGATACAGGACAAAGTCGATTTACAACTGTTAACTTAGTAGACTTAAAAACGTAATCAGCTGTTTTATATTGCTCTCAAACTCTACACCTAATACTGGAATGTACTTTCTTCCAGCGCACTGAAAGATTTCACACTATGTCAACACGAGCACGTAGTGCGAGATTGCGGACCACGAGCAAGCCAATTTCTACAACACCATATGAGCAGGATGGCGGGTTCACTAATGAATGAACACTGCGTCCTCTTTACTTACGGCTCTGATTCTTGCTCATCTGGCTGTCGACATTCGAAACTTCCACAGAAGCCTACCCATCAAGCTGTGTTCTTAATTATATTTTTAGGCGTATTATGTTGGGCGTAAACAACTTCAAAACGAAAGAGATTTATCCTGATTTTCCGAGCAGCAGTCGTCACATCTCAGCCGTATTCAATAATTTTAGCAAAGTAAGAAAGAAATAAAAATAATGAAGAAGAGTTATGTAAACATGTTCATCAAACAATGAGTGTATTGAACTTGAAAGGCAGTCGACTCTTTGATGTGATTTTTCTTTTATGTAATTCAGATGTACGAAATATGTATTTACAACCCCTAATTCAAAAAGTGTTTCCCTTTTTGGTCATGCGCAGTATCAAATGTTATATATTATCTCTGTTATACTTTATGTTATTATTGTATTTATACATTGTTGTGTTTATATTTTATTTTGTTGATAAAAACTTTCATGCTGTTTCCGTCGTTCTTAATGAATAACTAATAACACAACTTAGGTACTAATATGAAAAAATACTTTCTCTTACAAGTTCACCAGTACAACAACTCATGTTTACAGATTTGTAGATTTCAAAAGGTGACATGAATGAACAGAATATAAAATAAAGTATCATTGTAGATTAATTGTTGGAAACTCATGGCCAGTAAAAACATCTAAAATTGCCACGTTAGAAAACAACAGGATAAAATACATAAACAATTACGGCTTAACAATTAAAAGCTACTGCTGAAACGTTTGAAAGTAATAGCAGCATTGCCTTCTTCAGCAACTAGCAACAGAATGTCAGTTTTCCCTTTTCTTTCCATATTGTTTCAGTTTATGGAAGTTTTTATAATACAAGAAGATTATTAATACTCAGTATAAGTATTTTGCATCATAATTGTAAAATTGACCGATTTTATTCTCCTGAGAAAGTGCCTAAGAGGAGGAACGTTTTGATTCTTTGGTTGCATATTCTAGTTTACAGGGGGAATTAATTCCGCTCTTGCCAGAGCTTATCAGAGAATCCACCAGGTGCCTCACAAATAAGGGCTCATCAAATTGGTCCACCATAAAGGTGTGTACCTTAAGATAAAATGTAGTAAAAATAAGAAAACAATTAAGACGCATTGTCTCTGAAATCTCACTGGCGGGTGAGGATGCGATGACAGAAGACATTGTCCCTGAAAGGACATTGTCCTATCAGGGGTGATGATTTAAAACAATACAACTCTTAAGGTTACGGTTGCAGTGAAAACAATTCGAAATTTTCGAATTACGACATAATTGTTTTCTGCACTAATTGATCTGAAATAAATGCACTGAAAATAAATGGCGCTGGAATGATACACGTATGACGAAAATTGCTGGCGTATGCATTTGGTTAAAGAATGAGTTTAAACTGTTAAAAGTAAGGTATTTGTTTTGCAAGAAAAGTGTTTACATGGAAATAACGTATGTACCTTTTCGTCATTTCTGTCTATTGTGTAAATTTCCACAGCGCATTAATTTATACAAAGGCATCAATTAGACTATATAACGAAAGGACAATATGTAACTTTCAAAAGACATAAACAAGTGATATGCAAGGCCTAAACTAAAATATTTCTTAACATCACGGGGAAATATAGTAAAATTAATCAAAATGAAAAATAAACCAAATGAAAATATTTAATAAACATTTAAGGCATCGATTACCTATTCCTTTTACTTAAATTATGAGTAAGTATAACTGGAATTATATTTTATTCCAGCATGCGCTATTTCTATATTCACGCATTTTGGTACACCACGTCCATAAACAAATAGCGATGAAGGAAAAGTCGCCAAGCACAAGATTTGGTAACCCTACGTTTCCTGTTTTAACCAATCGGAATCAAACCGTAAAAGAAATGGTCTGTAGGCTTTGTGAATATGCCCTTCACAGATGATTATGCATTGCCTGAAGGAAATTGTTGACAACGACGAATGTAACATTGCGGAAGAAATCTCTATAACTTCATTTTATGGTATCTTTCAATTCTGACAAATCTCATGGATTTCATGCGATCTCGTGACTTTTAATTGCACATATTTATTTTTTTCAAATAGCAGATCAATTGCCTTTTCCGACGAAGTCCTCCAAATTACATATTCAATAATGAGTTACTAAGTACGATTAAATTTTGACTTTCTGCGTCATAACATTCTAACAAAGGAAGATGAGAAGCGTAGCAGCATAGGTCCTAGCAGCACAGGGAAAGAGAAGATTCTGATGCAAAATGGCGCGCATTCGTTATTTATAGTTGCAATTACGTAATAGGCTAGCAAATTCTAGAAGGTACTGGTCTAGGGGAAAGATCCTAAATTGCAGAAAATTAATTGAAGGTTGCTCGTTCGCGTAGACCAAAGCCATCGTATTTTTTTTTATATTTTACACATATATATATATATATGAAATAATAACAGCAAGGAAAGACCGAGCACTGTTAATGATTACGTAGATCGATATTAAAGAGGAAGAACTCTGATTGCGTAGTATGCTAATATATTGACTTGGTAATATCTGAGAAACTTGGCAAGCGAGGCAGTTTTAATTCCATTTTTTTTTTTTTTTTTTTTTTTTTTTTTTTTTTTTTTTTTTTTCCAATTGACACAGTTTGTGGCCACAGTTCGCTTTGCACGCTAGCCGTGCCTATTCAAGGACATTTACATTTTTGATATTATTGCAATAGGAAGCAGCATAGCGAAATTACGTCCAAGCAGAGAGATAAGCTGAAGCGCTTAGTTATCAAGATGGAAGCACACGAAGAAAAAGCTTTTGGTTTGAGTTAAAAGTTTCAGTTTCCAATTATTACGTCGTAGCTTTGCGCAGGCCTGCAAAAAGGAATGATCCAGAAATGACGCAATGCAGATAATTATTACGATTTTTAGAATAGAGAGGGAGAATTAAACAGTTACTGTTAGTTTTATTTATACTTTTTTGATGTACATATTTTTTATCTTATATATGTATATATACATCAATTAGTTTTTAAACTTTGTTTTAGAAATCTTTTAAGAAGCTTTGTCCACTGCTTTTTGAATTTTACATATATATGTGTGTGTGTCAAGTTTTAACTCTTTCATGTTTTTCATGTCCATGTGACAAATACTGAATTTTCTCCCTTTTTAATTAAGAAGCTTAAAGTGAAAATCCAAGAATCGTACAGCAAAGAGTTTCTGCAAACTTCAAAAGGATATAATAGTTAACTTTTGAAAGTTTTGACAAGAGAAGAATGCAATATTCTTTCCCTTATTTAGGAGGGAGGGATGCTTAGTTACACGAAAAGTTTCCTTTTGTCATTCTATTGTCCGCAATGTTATGCAGTAATTTTTTTTTTCTGCAGTAAATCATCGATAATCTAGAGCCTTCAGGGAAACGACGACGCCAGATAATCGATTGGCTCAAACAAAAGAGCCTTACATATTTTGCTTTATATTATTTCTATACATTTATAATTATATTACATTTTCAGATTGCATGCATAAAATTTTACACAATAGCTATTATTAAACAGCAACTGGTGGCGTAAAGCTTTCAAAATTAAATTAAGTGCCCATGTTAAAAGAATAGATATTTAAAAAGTTAATTTAGAACAAAAAAACTGTTGAGAATAGTTAAGCTGGATGAATGTAAAGTATTTACGTATAAAATCCACTCTTTCTTAAATAAATGAGGTAATGTAATGTACATTATTACTTTCTTAAGCGAGGCGAGAGGAGGTCTTATTTAAATCTAAAAAGAACGAAAGTCTAAACAAGCCTAGTTTCTGCCTGGGGTTTATTTACCTTACAAATAAACTTACAAAATTTCTATGTTAAAACAGTATGGTGATGTACTCATGCATTGAAAAGCTTTAAATGTTAACTTTATTCAAATATAGTATTTTTTACCTGTAAAGTCTAAATATGTAATAAATTTGTTTTTGGTAATTGGCAGTGGTATCAGACTTAACATCTACTGTTTGAAACAATCTGAGACAGTAGCATGAATTCGTGGCCGTTTGTGTGTTTTCTCAATTCCAGAATGTTTGTCATAATATGATATGATATCTTTTTCATACGAATTTCAATTCATAAGATATTAATTAGGCTTTCTTTAACTAAACACATAAAGTGCCTTGCCTCTACTTTCAAAATTTAAGGAGATATAAAAGAGCTCTTTTACTAACTTTGATCACTTTTCAACGCACATCGGCGAGTAAACAGAATATTTTTCGTTCTGATTTGAAGAGAAAGTACGAAACAAAACAGAAGTTTCTCCTCTCGGCAATTAGTAATTCTATGTCAGGTAAAACAGCACTCACTATTAGCTTTCTAACAAGGTCCATGAAATTAGTAATTGCAAATATCTACTTAAGTTTGAACGTAAAAGTATGATTCGTTCTATATTTAGCTCGTGAAAGTAAAATTAATATTTTACTAAATGGATTTCTGCTTTACAGGGATCACATAAAAATTTTAATTTTGCAATTATAAAATTGTTCTATCATCGGCGATGAAATTGCCTTCATATTACTATCTTATTTTAACAAAAGTACGTCTCTAGGTTAGTATTTACAGAAATAAGCATGCGGCCGTATTTTTTAGACACCGTGTAATTTAGGCATGCAGACTGAATTATTATATTATTCAGATTATGACAAAGCAATCAAGGGCTTTCTGCTTAATAAAAGAGATGCCTTTGTGGAAGATTTTGTAAGGGAAACTGGTTTGTATTCCTGTTACGCGTATGAAAAAAACACGGTACTCCTGTGCCGTCAGATTTGAAACCCGGATTGAACTACTAATATTTAAAGGTTTTAGCACTCGACCGCTAGTGGGCATATTTACGCGTACACACTAACTGAATACTTTACACTTACCGAAATGAATTGCAATAGGAGCGCAAAAAGCGACATTAAAAGCTTACATCTAATTTCAAACAACGTGATAAAAAGTTTTAAACACACACCAGAACGAAAAAACTGTCTAAACACAAATCAGGCAAACACGATTGCGAAAACTTTTATTTTTAGCTTAAAAATTTAAAATATGAGCACGTCTGCCTATTCGGTAACAAGCTGTGCTTTACAGCAGTTCATTACGGAACTCAAAATACATATTGCAAGATCTTCAGCAATCGTTCAGCAAGGTTCTGATTCCGCAAAGCAATGATAATCTCCCACGAAGTCATTACTTCCGTTAGGCCTTTTTTCGTTTTACTTTAATCAGTTATCCTAACATAATCTTATCTCACTCAAGCTTCCTTTTCAGTCACTATGTTTTACAATTTCTTTCTTTCCTTTCATTGCTTTCCTCTTGTGTGACAAGCTTTCCTCTTGTTCGCGATGTTTCGGGCGAACAACCTTTTTCCCGGTTACTTAAATTTTGTTTAAGTGTTCTTCTAAAAATGTTTAAATCAAATCTGAATAACTGGAAATGAGATTACTTCCAATAGCATATTATTCTAAGACTC